GCCCCGGCCCGGCCGCGCTCGTCCCCGCCGACCCCGCCCCGGTGCCTTCCCGCCGTGCGGTGCTGACCGTCCTCGCTCTGGGCCTTCCCAGCCTTCCAGCGCCCGCCGCCGCCGCGTCCGCGGGCTGAGGGAGCCCCGGAGCCCGGATGGGCCGGCGACGCGAGGTTCGGTTCCGGTCTGACCTCGACCTCGACTTCGGCCCCGGCTTCGGGACCCCTAGCTACCAACCGGTCCCCGAGCCTCCCCCGCAGAGCCCCGTGGACACCCTAGAGGGGACTGTTGGGTGACTCCTGGGACGTTGTCAGGGGAAACGCCCGTGGTTGACCTTAGTGGGTGATGCGTTGAGCACGGCGGGGTGCACGCGCGGTCTTTATCCTGGTGCAAACCGCAGAACTTGCATTCTTTTGCAATTGCATTTGTCAAGTTGTTGCAGATAAAGGGTTTTATTTATTTATTTATTTATTTTGTAGGCCGAGCTTATGACTCCTCTTGACATATTTTGAGTGTGATTACACTCATTTTGCTCTTCCATGAACCAGTTTTACTTGTGCCGTGTTGTGTATTGTTATCCCCCAGTAGAGAAGTGTTTTGAGAAGCAGGCAGTGTGTAGCAGAAGTAACTTAGCAACGTTAACAGGAGGTGATTTTTATAGTAGTCGTGGAAGTTGGAAAGTCATCCATTATCACGACCTGTAGGGCTCCCTCAGATCTTGGCGTGGTTAGGTCCAGCCAGTGGTGTAATGTTTAGGCTCTGGATCCCACATGGCCAAATACTCAGTTGGAGTTCCTGACTGGCAGCTGGAGAAACACTCCCAGGGCCCCAAATCCAAAGGGGTGGGAGAAAATGAGGCCAAGGGGTTGTGGCTTTACCATCTCTTTGAGGGAGTGCTTCTCTTCTCTTTCTCCCTCCAGCTGGGGTTCCCTCTGACAAAATACCAAAAACAAAACCTAGTTACCCGTTTACTTCTTAATGAAATTTTAAAAAATGAATTATTTTTTGTTATTATTATTTTTAATTTGACCAGAAAGAGGCAGAGAGACACCAGAAAGAGAGGGAGAGAGAGAGAAAGGGAAGGTGAGAAAGCAAGTTGCCAGGTCTGGGACTCTAACCGTGGTCCGCCCTGCCATAGTCCAACACTTTAACTATTGCACCACCTGCAGGCACTGTTACCTGTCTTCTTATCCTTTACAGTTTAATTACATAAAGAGGTTATATCTAAGTATACATCTGATGTATTTTAAAGCAAATTTCTAGTATATATATGTAAGTATGTGGTTAAAGCGCTGAATTCTCAAATGGCTGACTGTAGTTTGAGTCCCAGACCTGGCAACTTGCTTTCTCACTTTCCCTTTCTCTCTGCTCAAATTAAAAAATAAGGCACCGGCAGATGACGTAATGGTAACGTCAGTGGACTCCACATGGTTGATGGCAATTGGAGACCTGGACCCAAGGCTTAAAACTCAGCAGGGCACCTGTGTGTGCTTACCCAAGCTCCTGAGAGGATAATGGAAGGGAGGGGATTATGGCATGGCCATCTCTCTCTGGGGGTGATTTTCCTTTTCTGTCTTTCTGGTGAGTGCACCTGTCCTATAGCAAAAAATCTCTCAGAAAAAAAAGATAAATAAAATTAAATAATTAAAAAAATAGAATTATTACATAACACCAAAGTTATTAATTCTTAGATACTATCTAACGAATATAATCTATAGATTAGAATTATTGAGAGAATCTAATGATTCTAGTAAAATCATCATACTGTTTTCCTACATCTTACAGGCAAAACACAGAAAGAGAGAAAGCAGACCATACTGAGGCAGATCAATATATTTTATTGTCAAGAGCCTTTAGTTGTTCATGATTATCTTCATTGTCTGAGAAGTAACTTGTCAAAAAAGCAATTACATTTTGCCTGAGTATTCTAGATATGAGCTACTAAGTGAATGCTTAATCGCTTACCTTAAAAAGAGATTACCTGGGCCCACAGGTGGCAGGGTGATTAAGATGCCGGACTCTCACATGGCCGACTATCGTTTGAGTTCTGAACCTAATGATTTGCTTTCTCACTTTCCCTCTGTCTCTCTTTTCTGGTCAAATTGAATAATAATAAATGAATGAAATTAAATAATTCCTTTTTTTAAGAGAGATTTTTTCTTTTTCTTTTTTAAATTTAACTTTATTTATTTTTATTTGACCAGAGAGAGAGAGAGAAGGGAAGTGAGAAAGCAAGTCACCAGGTCTGGGGCTAGAACTGTGGTCAGTCATGTGGGACTCCAGCACCCTTAATCTCCATGCCACATGCCGGCCCCTTAAGAGAGATTTTCTAGGGACCAGCAGTTGGCATAATGGCTATGTCACTGGACTCCCATGTAGTCAACTGCATTTCAAGTCCCAGACCCAATGGCCTAAACTCATGCTGGGTGCGTGTGCGTGTGTGCTCAAAATCCCAAGAGGAAAATGAAGGAGAAGGGATTGAAGAGTGGCCATCCTCCCTGGGGGTGATTTCTTGTTTTGTGTCTATCTGTCCATCTGTCTCTGTCTTTCTGACAAGCTCACAAGCCCTATAGCAAAAACCTCTCCAAAAAAAAAAAAAAGATTTCTATGGGGCAGATGTGCTCATTGGAGAGACAGAAAGTGAGAGATCACCCCTCCTGGGCGGGGGAATGGCCACGCCACAATCCCTCCCTCTTCATCCTCCTTTAGGGACTTTGGTCACTCACACACGTGCCCAGTGTGAGTTTAAGTCACCTGGTCTGAGACCCAGGGTCGACTACATAGGAGCCCAACAACATAACCATTACACTATCTGCTGGACTCAAATATTTTTTTTTCTTTTAAAGAATTATTATAACTTTATCCATTTATTTATTACTTATTTATTTTTTGGGAAAGTTTTTTGCTATAGGGCATGTGCGCTCGCCAGAAAGACAGAGACAGAGAGACAGAAACCAAGAAATCACCCCCCGGGAGGATGACCACACTACAATTCCTTCTCCATTCTCCTCTCAGGATCTTGGGCATGCATGCACACGCGCCCGGTGTGAGTTTAAGCCACTGAGTCCAGTACTCGAACCACAGTCGACTACATGGGAGTCCAGTGACATAGCCATTATGCTAACTGCTGGTCCCTATTTATTTATTTTTTAAATTTGACCAGAGAGGGACAGAGTGAGGGAGAAAGAGGGAATGTGAGAAAGCAAGCCACCAGGTTCGGGACTCAAACTGCAGTCAGCCATGTGGGAGTCCAGCGTCCTTTACTACCACGCCACCTGCCAGCCCCAATGTATATGTATTTTTAAATATTGTCTGCTGGCAGATGGCTTGGTGGTTAAGATGTTGGACTCCCAAGTGACTGACCCAGCAGTTTGAATCCCGGACTTGGCAGTTTGCTTTCTCACTTTCCCTCTCTTTCTCTGGTCAAATTAAAAAGTAATAATAAATAATTCTTAAATAAATAAAAGTCGAACTTAAAAAACTTAATTACTTTATCTGCTGAAAAAGTAATAATTGGGCCAGTAGCTGGTATAGCAGTTTCATCTCTGGACTCCCACATGGCTGGCTGTGGTTTGAGTTCCAGACTTGGTGACTTTAAAATCACACACCAGGCACATGTGCATGCGTGTCCAAGATCCTGGGAGGGGAATGGAGGAGAAGGGGTTGTGGTGTGGTCATCCCCATGAGGGACGATTTCTCACTTTCCCTTTCACGGTCTCTCTCTGTGGTGATTGTGTGTGCCTCAAGGCAAAAACCTCAACAGTAACAACAAATAATGATCAAAACTATGAAAATTCTGGATTAAGATGCTCAGCAGATATTTATAGACTATTTACTATAAGTGTTATTAATTTTTATTATTATTTACAGCATCTGTGACTCTTGACACTTGATTTGTCATTGTTATCTTACAAACATGGAGATAAGATTAGAAGTTTTGACATCAACAAGTATCAAGCAGAAAAAACCCTGGCCGCGAGTCTCTTGGTTGGGACAGGTAGGTTTTCCTTTATTCAGACATCAGTTTTACTTAAGTTAAATGTGTGTTTTGCCTGTAAGATGTAGAAATGTTTTATGACCCTAAAGAAATAAAACATCGGGGCCATCAGTAGCATGGTAGTTAAGGCACCGGACTCCCACATGGTCAACCGTGGTTTAAGCCCCAGACCTGGTGGCTTGAAAATCATGCTGGGCATGTGTTCATGTGTGCCTGAAATCCTGAGAGGAAAATGGAGACGTGATTGCCGCGTGGCCATCCCCCTCAGGCTGTGGTTTCTCACTTTCCATCTCTGGTGAGCAAGCTTTTGGTCCCTAAGGGAAAAAAAAAAGGAGGAAAGAAAGCATCATCTTTAGAGGAAGTACCTATTTGCCCACTAAACAGTTTTATGTGTGTTTTGCTTTTATTATAATGAGTAAGTTAGCTTTTCTAGAAAGTTAAATGGTATGCCTATAAAAAAATTTCTACTTAAAAAAAAATTCTTTTTCATATTAAAGTATATTGAGATGGGATATATCTAAAAGGAGTTTTTTTTCTTTCTTTTTAATTTGCTACAGGGTATGTGTGCTTGCCATAGACAGAAAGACAAGGAAAGTAAGAAAGCACTCCCCATGGGGAATGGCCATGCTGCAATTCCTTTTTCTTTATTTCTCCTTTTGGCATCTTAGGTGCGCTTGCGTGCACACACACACACACACACACACATACACACCTGGCATGTTTCTTTCTTTCTTTTTTTTTGGGGGGGGAGAGGTTTTTGCTATAGGGCACGTGCGCTCGCCAGAAAGACAGAGAGGGACAGAGAGACAGAAAGGGAGAAATCACCCCCCCCAGGGGGTATGGCCACTCCGCAATCCCTTCTCCTCCATTCTCCTCTTGGGATCTGGGCATGCATGCACATGCGCCCGGCGTGAGTTTAAGCCACCAGGTCCTGGACTCGAATGATGCAATGGGGTCATATGAGATCCAGCCACCTTAACTACCACACCACCAGCTGGCCCCCAAACAAGAACATTTAATCTTTTTTTTTGCGAGTTTTTTTTTTTTTTTTTTTTTTTTCTTAATAGGCGTCCGCCACCCCACAAGAGAGAGACAGAGACAGAAAGCGAGAAATCATCCCCTAGGGGGGATGGTCACGCCGCAATCCCTTCTCCATTCTCCTCTCGGGATCTTGGGCACGCACACACACACGCCGGGCGTGAGTTTTAAGCCACCGGGTCTGGGACGCGAACTGCGGTCGACTACGTGGGAGTCCAGTGACATAGCCGTTACGCTAACTGCTGGTTCCCAACAACATTTAATCTTGTGCAGTTTCCCCTACTAGAACTATAGGAAATTAAACCTCTTGAGTGTTTCCTCCTATTGTGGTTTTCATGAATGTGCAATAAAGTGTCCTTAGAGGGGGAATATAAGAGGTGGGCCACAATAGGTTATTAATTCAGGCATACCTTTTATAGTACAGTACAGGGACCAGATTGTTCACCTTTGGGAAAATGGGCAAACCTATAAATTCTCATATTCATGGTGATTATTGAAATAAAGTATCAAATTTCCTATGGGAAATCATCCCACTAATTAACTTCCTTGGTACAAAAGTCTCAAACTTTACAATGTATCAGAGTCACCTGGAGAAGTTGTTAAAACACAGATAGCTAGGTCTCATTCCTGGTATTTCCAATTTGGTGGGTCTGGGTTGGGATTGAATAATTGGTCTTTTTTGTTTCTGTTTTGTTTTTAATTATTTTGTTATTATTATTATTTTTATTTTGCTATAGGGTACATGCACTCACCAGAGAGGACAGAAAGAGAGAGAGAGAGAGAAAGTTTGAAAGCAAGCCACCAGGTCTGGGACTTGAACTGCATTTGGCCATATGGGAGTTCAATGCCCTAGTCACCATGCCACCTGCTGACCCTGATAATTGGTGTTTTTAACAGGTCTCATGTGTTGTTGATGCTGCTAGCTCAATGGTACTTTGAAAACTACCACCTTGGAATATACAGTCATGCTTTTGGTTTACTATGGGATATGTTGTGAGAAATACGCCATTAATCAATTTCATGGTTGTACAAAGAACCTAGCATGCTCTTCCACAAACCTATATAATAGACAACCTGCTATACACCTAGGCTGTTTGGTAAATCCTCATAATCTCATGGGCCATCCTTCATATATGTAATCTGTCATTGACCAACATGTCATTATGCAGCACATGTGAAAGCAGAGTAAATACAGAAAACAGCCTACTTTTATTTACATAGTAAACAATTATCAGTATCAAGGGCTTATGTAGCCACATCTGTTTTAATCTAAGTAAATAAAAATGTACCCATATTGGAGCCAGCAGGTAGTGTGGTGGTTAAGGGCACTGGACTCCCACATGGCGACTACAGTTCAGACTGGCAGCTTGCCTTTTCACTTTCCCTCTCTCTCTCTCACTCTGTCTCTCACTCTGTCTGTCTCTGCTCAAATAAAAATACATAAATAAATAAAGTTAAATAAAAGAATTCTTTTTTTTTCTTTTGAGAGGATTTTTTGCTATAGGGTGCGTGCGCTCGCCAGCCAGACAGAGAGAGACATAGAGACAGAAAGCGAGAAATCACCCCTCAGGGGTGATGGTCACGCCGCAATCCCTTCTCCTCCATTCCCCTCTCAGGATCTTGGGCACGCACGCACATGTGCCCAGCGTGAGTTTAAGCCACCGGGTCCGGGACTCAAATCACGGTCGACTACATAGGAGTCCAGCAACATAGCCATTACGCTAACTGCTGGTCCCTCGATATCTGCATATTTTTTTTTTTTTTTAGGGAGATTTTCGCTATAGGGTGCATGTGCTCACCAGAGACATAGAGGCAGAAAGTGAGAAATCACCCCCCGGGGGGATGTTCATGCCGCCATCCCTTCTCCACTCTCCTCTCGGGATATTGGGCACACACGCACACGTGCCCGGCGTGAGTTCTAAGCCACCGGGTCCGGGATGCGAACTGCGGTCGACTATGTGGGAATCCAGTGACATAGCCATTACGCTAACTGCTGGTTCCTGATAAAAGAATTCTTTTAATAAAAGTGCCCATATTACTATGAATCTTAGTAAGAGATTAAACAGCAGATAACCAGGTTTTGGCTAGAAGAATTGGAAAACATTACAATTTTTTTTTTGTTTTGAGAGGTTTTTGCTATGGGGTGCATGTGCTCAGCAGAAAGAGAGAGAGAGACAGAGAGACAGAAAGTAAGAAATCAGCCCCCAGAGGGTATGTCCATACCGCAGTCCCTTCTCCATTTTCCTCTTGGGATCCTGGGCATGCACACATTCATACCAGGCGTGAGTTTAAACCACTGGGTCCAGGACTCACAGCACTGTGGGCTCTATGGGAGTCCAGCGACATAGCCATTATGCCAACTGCTGGTCCCGATTTTTTTTTTTTTTTTTTGAGTTTTACTATAGGGCGCATGTGCTCCCTGGAGAGACTCAGAAAGAGAGACAGAAAGCAAGAAATCACCCCCAAGAACGGATAGCCATGCCATAACCCCTTCTCCATTCTCCTCTCAGGATGTGCACTTGTGTGAATTTTAAGCCTCTGGGTCCAGGACTCAAACCGTGGTCAACTAGGTGAGAATCCAGCGACATAACCATTACTCCATCTGCTGGTTCCAACACTCTTATAATTTTAAACTGCTAAGTTTAAAAGCAAACATTAGGTCACCTACCTAGTAATTCTAGTAAGAGGTATTTTAAAATAGAATGAAAAATCTTCAGGTTACTGTAGCTGATATTCATTTAATGATTCATAATACCAGTGCATAAACTTTCTTAAATGTCACTTTGTTTTCCTTTCTGGATAACTTATTTAGTCAATGTATTGAATTAGCTCTGGAACCTCTTAAGCTCTTTGTCTGTTTCTTCTCTTAGGAAAATGAAGCTGTTTATCTTTTGGATGATAAATGCATAAACGAAATTAATTTGCTATCTGGAAGAACAAAGAAGAAAATTCCTAGTTTGCAGCCTTTATTGAAAGATGTTTTTGTCCTAAGAACTTCCAGTAATGGTTAAGTAATACTTATAATTCGAAAGACAATATGAACTATATTTTAAAATAATTTAGGGTACTATTAAGGAAAGTATTAGGTTAAAGTTATTAAATTTGATTTTTGGAAACAGATGCCTGGCTAGCTGGGGTACTAACTACAGGCGAGCTTTTCATTTGGAACAAAGATCAAGATTGTTGGAAAACTATACAAGTAACGGAAAAACCTAGAGAAATGATTAAAGCTACAATAGGTGGGAATTTTCTTTGTTTAAGTTAGATTACTTAATAATAAGATGAAACATTTTTCTGTTATTTTGAAAATGTATCCTTGTATGTGTACATATATATGTGTGTGTGTTTCTCTGTATATATGTATATTTTAAATTTTTTAGTGGTAGTTATCTGTGATTCCTAGATTCAGTTTGAAGAAAGGTTTGCCATGCCTAACTTCCTGTGATAACAATAGGTTCCAAACATTACACAATCAGTACTTGATAAATATTACTATTATTTGTACTTTTATTAAGAGTGCCTTAGTTTTGACATCATGAATGGTAGCATCATTTATATCTCTTATTGTAAAAATGGATAAATTTTGTATTTTCATGGAGAAATTCAGATGTCAGAGGTTTAATTCCTTTTTTTTTTTTTTTAAGCAAACTCTTTGAGACTGTACTTGTATGTGTCTGGAAATGGGAAGAGAATTCTGCTTATAACACCAAGTGGATGCATTTTTCTTTGGGAATTTTTGGAGTTGAAGAATATTTTATCTTGTAAAAGCTTCTCGTTAGTGGGTCAGTGGTCCCAGATCACACCTGAAGAACCAGTTCTGTTGCCTTCCTCCGAAGATAAAGAAGCCGTAGTGAATGCCGTTTTTATAAAAAATGAGGTAAAATCCAAATCAGACAGGGCGTTGTAGGGGTTGAGATCTCAGACTCTAAGAGCAAATACTATTTGTATAATATTGGGTCATTGGAAAAGTCACGAGGCATTTTTGCATAGAAAAATATGTCAGGACTTTCCCAATATAATAACATAGCTATATATTTCTAGCACCATTGCTTGTAGTAGTCATTGTGAACTTTATTGAATGGAAAAGGTATTTTTACATTTCTTTGGCTGCATTTTACTTTTTTCTCATTAATTTTTTTTTTTTTAATTTTAAGAGTTTTTTTGCTATAGGCCACATGCGCTCACTGGAGAGACAGAGAGACAGAAAGTGAGAAATCACCCCCGCTCCAGAGGGAAGAAGGGCCACGCCGCAATCCCTTCTTCATTTTCCTCTCGGGATCTTGGGCATACACACACACACGTGCCTGGCATGAGTTTTAAGTCACTGGGTCTGGGACTCAAACTGTGGTTGACTACGTGGGAGTCTAGCACCGTCACTATTACTCCATCTGCTGGTCCACTTTTTTTCTCTTTAGTTAACAGAAGGCTTGTGAACTTACCAGAGAGAGACAGAGAAAAGGAAAATGAGAAAGCCCCTTACATGGGGGATGGTCACACTGTAATCACTTTGCCTTCATTTCCTTTTTGGGGATTTTTGGGCGCGCACACATTCCTGGTGTGTTTCTCAAGTTGCAGGTCCAGGACTTGAACTATGTGGTTGGCCATGTGGGATCCAGCTGCCTTAACCATCATGCAATTAGCCAGCCTACTTTTTATATAAAATAATGCATCTTTACATTAAAGTAAAGCTTTATTCATGATAGAATTTGTGTGCTCTTGCAAGCATGTGAGAAAGAGAGAGGGAAATGAACACTCTCCATTGGGTCTGGTCATGCCCTTCCAGTGCTCCCTTGAATCTTGGACACTTGGTGCATGCCCAGCATGTTTTGGACTGACCCTTGAGTCACATTTTTAAAAAGTATATGGGACCAGCAGGTGGCATGATAGTTAAAGTGCAGGACTCCCACATGGCTGACCGTAGTTCAACTCTCAGACCTGGGGGCTTGAAAACCATGCTGGGCACATGTGTGTGCCTGCCCAGAATCCCAGAAGGGGAAATGAAGGAAGGGATTGCAAACTGGCCATCCCCCCTGAGGGCTGATTTCTCATTTTTCCTCTCACTGTCTCTCTCTCTCTCTGGTGAGTATGCATACCCTGTGGCAAAACCTTAAAAGAAAAATTGGCAAAGCCTTAAAACACAGGGTGAATTTAGAACTCCTTTCTCTTTCCC